ACACATGCACATATACACCCACAGAAACTGACCAGGATAACTATACACGACTCACAAACACATGTACACACCTGTGCGTGTGCACCTGTACGTATTACATGCACACACCTGTGCGCGTGCACCTGTACTTACTACATGTACACACCTGTGCGCATACACCTATACTTACTACATGTACACACACGTGTGCCTGTACGTATTACATGTACACACCTGTGTGCGTGCATCTGTACTTACATGTACACACCTGTGCACCTACACCTGTACTTATTACATGTACACACCTGTGCACCTACACCTGTACTTACATGTACACACCTGTGCGTGTGCACCTGTACTTACATGTACACACCTGTGCATGTGCACCTGTACTTACATGTACACACCTGTGCGCGTGCATCTGTACTTATTACATATGCACACCTGTGTGCTTGTACCTGAACTTGTGTGTGCACCTATACTTATGCACACGTAGACTCCATGTGACGCACACATACACACGCGCGCGCGAACCGGCAGTCTCGGGGACTCAAGTGTCCCAGGATGGGATGTCACCTCGCGGCTGCTCATCCAGCCTCAGACGCCGGCCACGTTCGCTGCCCTGGACGTGCTCACACGCGCCCGCTGTGCAGGGGGAGAAACAGCTGAGCAGCCATAACCAGTGAGGAGCATCCGACGCCCGAGGCCAAGGGCTGAGTCGCCCTCATTTACAGCTGCATTTACACCTGATTTCGCCGGGGCTGGGTCGCCCGCATCTGCATACGTCCCGGGCCCCTGGTGCGCGGCCATTCCCTCCCCATCAAGCCCACAGGTCTGGGACCCGCCAGATTGGCAATTTGATTAGAAGATGGAACAACACTGCGATGATCGAGTGTGTAATTTATTAAAATGGAACAAAATGTGACACGCTGTCTCTGGAACCCAGCACTATACCTGTGCGAGTTTATTCAACACAAATTGAGATTTCAAGGTTTGCAGATATTGCAAATGAAAATTCCCCAGAGGGTGTCAATAAAAGTTCACTGGTTCCTTTTATTTGTTTTGAATTAATCACAAGATAGAGAAAAAATAGGTTCTATATTTTGAGGCTTTTTAAATAAAATCATTCTAAGAAGGACACATTTCTTCCAGAGATATAATTAAATTTCCAAATTGCAGTTTCCTCTCCCCCACCCCACTGTCACTGCGTGAACAGAATCTGCTGATATTCAAGCCCCAGAAAAGTTTTTGCTCACTTCTCACCCTGCAGGTCTACACCCATGGAGCCAGAGTAGCCTCCAGGGAGTCACCCTCACACAGAGAGCAGTGAGCCCAGCCCTGCAACCCCACAACCAGATTCCCCTTCTCTCCTTCCCTCTTCCTCCTGGTGAACTGTTAAAGAATTTTGCTACTAGCCAGGCCTGCAGTCCTATCTGCGAGGCCAGACGAAATAGGTGGTTGTATCAGTTAGCTATCACCACGTAACAAACATTCCTAACTCAGTGGCTTGAAATAACAAACATGTGTAATTGCTCTCAAGTTCTAGGTCAGCTGGGTATTCTGGCCGTGTGCCCATGGTCAGTCGTGAGTTGGGACACGCAGTTCTACTGACCGCAGCCGGGCTGTCTCCCGTCTCTGGTGGTCAGCTGGCTGTAGGCTGGTCTGGGATGGCCTTGCCTCGGACACCTGTTTGCTCTCATCCTGCAGCAGCCTGGCCCAGCCCATTCCATGGCATGGGGGTGAGGAGGTCCTTGAGAGACACGCACAAGGCCTGGCCTCAGGACTGGCGCACTGTCACTGATCCCAGATTGGGGAGGTGGACTCTGTATCTTTTGGGACAGTTGCAAAGTGATGGGACAAAGAAAATGGACTCTGGGGGGGCTTTCCCTGGGGTCCTCGGCGCAGCCGGTACCCCGCGGTGCATAGCTGCAGGGAGCTCCAGATTCCCATCACCTGCCGGCAAAATCAAGACAGCCATCGCTGCCCACCTCCCTGCCCACGTGCCTCCTCCTCCCAGAACCCGTGTCCGACCTGATCCCGCCGCACCCCGTCCGAGCCTGCCCCGCTCCTTGGGAGAGCTGGCTATTCTCGGGTAAAATTGGAGAGCGCGGGGCCAGCCTGCTGGAAAACAAATACTATGTCTTTAAAAATGTCCTATTTGCCAAAAGCAAGGGCCTGCCGAGCTCTCAGCACCTTGTGTCAACACCTGTCCCCACGGAAGACGCAGGACGCTCTACGTCCGAGTGACATACGCGCACAGCAATACCCCCTACGCCCCTGGCTATAAAACAAGAAATCTCAGTGTCGTGCAGCGTGAGTTCCTCCTGCTGACGGGTAATCAGTTATCCACGCTGCAGTGAATTTCTGAAATCGCATGGTCTCCAGGCCCTAGACTCTCCTTTATCAGCGCTGCATCAGACACCCCTCCAGAGCCTCGCCCTGAACAAACCACTCCTGCAGGCATGTTTCTCGTGGGCGCCGTTTGGGAGGGACCCACCACATTAATTCACAAAATTACTTCATCTTCCCAGTGGAGGACTTTTCCATCTGACGTCGGTGAACGTACTTCCTCTCTGTCTGTAACCCATGGGCTTGAAAACAAGCATGAGGAGAACATGCTTCATGGGGGGTGTCCAGGAGGTAGACCCCCGCCCCTTCCGCCAGGCGCTTCCTGGCAGTTCTTCCTGTTTGAAGCATGAAACTGCTTGGAGAAGCTGCCGGAGAAGCTCCGGGAGAACGGCAACGAGGGCAAGCCCGCCAGCGCCCAGGAGGGTGGCCCACAACCCGAGACGCACGGAGCCTCGATTCCAGCTTCCAGGCCCCCTCCTCTCCTCGGGGGGAACCACAGCATCCAGCAGTGACCCCAGGCGACCGCCTGTCCAGGGCCTGATCCTGTCCCCCCGGCCGGAGAAGGCAGGAAGCAAAGGGCACTTCCGGGACAGGGGCGGCCATTCTTCCAGAAAGTTCTGAGCCGGCTACAGTGGGAACAGGAGGAGGGGGTTCACAGCCAGAAACAAGGCACTCTGGTGGGCGCAGGGGGGAGGGCGGAGGGTCCAGCCACTGGAGCTTCAGTTCTGCGAGATGGGGGAGGAGTGAGAATGTGCTTAATCCCCCAAACTGTGCTCTGAGAAGCGGTCAGGATGGTAACTTTTATGCCATGTATATTTTACCACAACTAAAAAAAGACAAAGCCTTAAAAACCCCGATCTCTGTGGAAGGGGCAGCCCACCCCCTCGGGTGAGGGCTACTCAGGAAAACAGCCAATCACAAAATACCAATATAGGAATAAAGTCTGCTCGAATCACAAAGGGAATAAATGGAGGGCGTGTAATGCCCTTTAGGGAAACGGTAAATCAGGCTGCGCACTGTTCATCTTCTTTTGCTGCCCCTCCTCCTCCCACCTGTCCAGGACCCGAGCTCTGGGGCCCCAGACCACGCAGGTGACGCTGCCGACAGCCACGGGCAGGCGGAGCGCGAAGGGTGTGGTTTCCAGACACATTTCCTGTTCCCTGCTGACCTGGAACAGGACCTCAGTCATAAAAAGTAAGTCACAGCCTAACTTCCTATCGGTTCAGACACCAAAAAAGCCAAACTTGAGTGTTTTTACAGGGATTCTTTTTTTTTTAATGCTTTTTTATTTTGAGAGACAGAATCCCAAGCAGGCAGGGGCGCCTGGGTGGCTTAGTCGGTTAAGCGTCCGACTTTCGCTTGGGTCATGATCTCGCGGTTCGTGGGTTCAGCCCCGCATCGGGCTCTGTGCTGACAGCTCAGAGCCCGGAGCCTGTTTCAGAGTCTGTGTCTCCCTCTCTCTCTGACCCTCCCCTGCTCACGCTGTCTCTCTCTCTCTCTCTCTCCTAGATATAAATAAAAAAGAAAAAGAAAAAAAAAGAATCCCAAGCAGGCAGAGAGCTGTCAGCACAGAGCCCACCGTGGGCTCGGTCCCACAGTCCTGGGATCATGACTTGAGCCGAAATCAAGAGCCAACCAACTGAGCCCCCCAGGCGCCCCTAAAGTTTAATGTTTTTCAATAAAACAAAAAAAACTAGCAAAATGTAAATGACTACAGTTCCTGGAAACTATCAAATACAGAAGCAATGGAATAAGAATAAAACGTGATTGACTACTTTTTTAAATACTGGGGAGCACTTGATAAAATCAAAATGTCATAAGCAAAATTTGCACAGAGGGCAGAGAACGACCAGCAGTGACCGGGGGGGGGGGGGGGGGGGG